CATGCAGTCATGAAGCTATAGTTGTAATACGATTATTATCAAATCCAAGTAGTAGTGATTGTATAGGACCGAGTGTTATGTTACCGAGTTTAAGAAGTGGTTCTTCTACTTCGTTAAAGTTCAATAGTCTAATAATTTATTACAGTAGCACAGTGAGGGCTTACAAAGTAGAAAATCCACTGTGTATCATCAGGTACATTACGACCAAGGCCACTTCCTATAAATCCTTCAAGATCGATAGGTCTTGGAAGATGAGTGACAATAATCCGTCAGAGTATTGCTGACAAAATAAATAATTAATAGAATTAGGACTAGGTAATGCCACGTACACTTCATCTGTGACGAATAACGAGTAGCAGAGACATAATTAACAGTTTATGGCAAGCAATTCAGATCTGTTTGAGGGACCCAACTATTAAATTTGCCAAGATATTCTTGCCATTTTACGGGTTGATTATAATCCTTCCTCGTTGTTTTAGTATTTCTTCCACAGCGATGACGTCACTGTGGAATTTGATTACTCGTTAGAGTTCAGATTCGTAAAATGTTCCACTTAAGATTTCTCCAATATAGTTTTGCAGTTTGTAAACTGGAAGATTTCTCTTTAATCTCTTGTGAATCGTAAAGTTTCGTCTGACTATCCAGGCTTTACTTAAAATGACGCTTCACACATACTACCATGCTCCCCAAGTGGTGGGCACGGCACAAATAGGCCACTGTGTAGCTTTGTTCTTAATAATAAACAAACAAAAATGAACGCCCACTTTCTTGAAAAAGTGTATCTTTCTGGCTTATGTAGTGTGTATGTATCCTGCCAACTTAACCGGTCTTTGACTTGTTTATTGTTATTTATTTATCTAACTGATAATTTTAGAGATCTAGTTAAAGCCCGTACTTCACCATAACTGGTAGAGTGAGTAGTAGTATTATAATAAATAGATCATTGCGCTTGATCTATATCAGATATTATTTACTTCGTCTGATTAGTTGATTGTTTGAATTTATGTAGAAAGCTACATGATGGGCTATCTGTGCTCTCCCCACCACGGGTATCGAAACCCGGTTTCTAGCGTTGTAAGTCCGCAGACATACCGCTGTGCCACTGGGGGGGGGGGGCGATTACTTGATACTTTCATCATCTGTGTACAATGTTATTAATTTGTCCGTTACAAAAAAACGAGATTTATTTTTACTGTCTCAAATTATTACTTAGTTTAAAGGGCTGACAACAATACATGTTGACATCCAAGACACAAATAACATTGTTGTATATAAACAGACTCGTTTTT